AGCACAGGGCCTGGCTTATCATAAAAGCTTGATAAATGATAGCTGATGTTTCTCTGACTACACAGCCTCTTCCTGTAGAGCTGGAATATACATATATTAGGAATATATATGTATTCTTAATAATTAAATATATATCTTATACACATATATTCTTTTTTATATATTCTTACATATATTTTATATATCTTATATATATAGTCTTAATAATTAAATTGCCAAATTGGCAGCAACCAATATGTTACTCAGTACACAAATGGACAAAGAAGCTCTCGTATGTCCAGACAACGGAATCTGATTTGGTAATAAAAAGATTTGGTACTAAAAAGAAATGCGTTATCAAAGTAGAAAGGATAAGATATTGAGAAGCTTTCAGTTCATACTACTAAGTCAATTTGAAAAGGCTGCATACTGTATGCGTCCAACACTCTGGACAAGATTAAACTACGGAGACAGCAGAAAGATCCGTGGTTACCAGGGTCTGGGTAGAGAGAATGAAGGAGAGGCACCACAGGGTTTTGGAGCCATGAAGCTGCTCTGTGGGATACTATAATGGTGGATACACATCATTGCACATTTATCCAACCCCATAAAATGTACAACGGCATGTGCGAGCCCTACTATAAACTTGGGGGTTTGGATGACTATAATGCATGAGTGTATGGTTCCTCAGTGGGAATAAATTTATCATTCTGCTGGAGGTTGTTTCATGGGGAAGCTGGGCACATGTTGGGGACAGGAAATAGATGAGAAATCGCAGCACCTTCCTCTCTGATATGTTGGGAACCCCAAACTGCTCTAAAAGATAAAGCCTATTTCTAAAAACAGATTGAACATACTACCTTCAAAGTTGCAGGTGACCAAATTATGTCTGAGTGAATGAATGAATATCTGCTAAGCTTCAGGCAGATGGAAACTGGGTTAATAGTCTATAATCAGGCAGATCACCCTGCATCAAGGCTCTGGATTGAAACTTCTTGGGCTGCTCTATCTCCTCTGTGATGCACAGCACTTAGAAGGTTTAGGAGAACGCTTTGCATTGGGGCAGTAGCACCCAGACCTCAAAACATTTCTGAGGCTGGTTTTCAAATTAGAGACATGAAGAAAAAGGTCCCGAAAGCGAGATGCAAACACGCTGGCAGGGCTGGCCCACGTCTGGAAAGGAGAGGATCGAATGTGCGAAGTGGCTCTGGTCCACACACACTGGCCCCAGCAGAGACGGGCGAGCTCCTTCTTCGTTCTGCACTTGCCAGCTCTCTTGGGGGACGGTTCTGGCTTGGAACACCGACACTATCTTACATCTTGCCTGGAATTCTGTGAAACTCTGGGCAGCACCTGGTCCAGCTGGTGCACACCGAAACACCACATTTATTTGATACTGGGGTTGATATTTCTTCTTTTACGTAGCAGTTGGGACTCATTAACTCTCACTAAGGACCAACATTGAAAGAAGCATTTCCTCCATCTCTAGAAAAACAAAAAAATTCCCTTGGATGGGCCACAGTCCTGTAACTGATTTGCTCTCCTGGCACAGGACAGCATGTTGTGTGGTGCCCTGAGGCTGGTGAGAGAGGGGACAGACTCAAGAATTTCTGGGTGGGAAGGCCCTTCCTTGCATTTACCGCAATTACTAAAACACTATGTTTAATAGCTCAAGACTGGTCTATATTTGCATGGAAACTGTGTATGTGTGGAATTTTTTCTTCTTTAAACTTCAAGATGGTCATAATAAGAGCCAGACTGTTGATGAGTCTAACGATTAGAAGCAGCTTCTAAATTCCCTGCACAATCATGTTGGGTTCAATTTTGAGATCTTGTTCTAATAGCTCAAAATGTGTGGTGTTTATCTAGCAACCTCGCTAAAAGACTCGTGGTCGCTGGTGCCAAACATGTGCATTAGGTTTGCAGCTGCCCGGTTCGAGGAGCGCCTCGGTAACCAGCCACGGAATTAAAGCAGCCTGGAAGGGTGTTGGGAAGGTTCATTTTAGTAACTGCTGCATTTATGTCCATCATATCACTATTCAATTGGCAAGCATGAGGGAGACTTCAGTGTGTGCAGTCACCATTCCTGGAGGAACCCCATGCTTTGAAACGAGGCAAACAAAAAGGGCTCTTGGCTGCAGGCGCTTGGCTCAGTGTGTCTGTTCCTTTGAGCCGTGTCCATCATTGCACCTGCTTCCTTTGGAGCCAAACTTACACATTATCACCATGACTCTTTAATAGCACTAAAATTGCACTAATCCACGAAATCTGTCTTTTCTCTTTCTTGCCTTGCCACAAAATAGAATCTGCAGGAGTGTGGGAGTGGAGAAGGCATTCTGAGCCGCTGCTTGAGACATTTTTTTTATTGTATGACTTTTCAAATACTGCTGGTCATAAAAGTATTATCCTAATAGGGAAGGCAACCATGAACACAGAAACACAATCAGACAGCAAAGACCTCTGCTTTCATTTACTAGACAAGAGGTAACAGTTTCTCATTTCCAAAGCCGTTATCAACCTGGGATATTGGAGGGAGTCTTTCAATACGTCAGTGTGTTCACAGAAGAACAACTGGCTTCAAAAGAGAGGAATTCAGACCCTGAGAATGATTTCATTACTTCCAATTATATCTTACGCCAGCAAGAAGAGCCTAATGTCAATGATGAGACACTTAGCCACGCTCCCACAGTACCTGTTTTGTCAGGAATCACAAAATCTCACTTTTTAAACTGTTCAGTGTTCAAGGAACAGGACAGAAAGTGTACAACAAGGGCAGAAGAGTCTAAACCTGAGGTTGGCAAACTATAACCTATTTTTGTAAATAGAAGTTTTATTAGCACATAGCCATGCTTACACATTCACAAGCGTATGGCTGCTTTTGTGTTACAACAGCAGAGTTGATTGTACACTGCCTATAACAATGCAAATCCCTAAAATATTTACCCTCTGGTCTTTATTTGAAAAGTTTGCCCACCCGTGGTCTAGAAAAACAGTCAGAGTTAAGCCAGGTGCTGGCTGAAGGTTCCCAACTCACCATGCCAAAAGGATGACTAAGTTAGTTTTGGTTGTCTTGCAATGCATAATTTAAAAACTCTTATATGACAGGACAACTAAAACTCCCATTTTTCTTATGTTGGAGCAGTAACATGGAAAGTAAAATGAGTTCAATATATTTTCTGTGTCACCTGGACTTTGCAAGCATTGCTGGATTGCTTAGATGTGTATTGTCATTTCTCAAAACTTCTAATAGATGCAAATGTTGCCTGCTACTAAAGTACCGGCATTATGCTTGTGTTTGTGCAAAATTCCACAGTGTTCACAACCATGCCCTGTAGTTAGAAGTGCAGTCCTACTTCAAAGACAACTCTTCGACCTTGTCGCTTTTTGTCTGAGGTGTAAGACATGCTGCTCAACTGAGCCTTCCAGGACTAATATACTGGCCTCATTCATTAAGACATGCCTGAAATGATCTGTATGACCATTTAATCTGAATTAATGGGACACTTTGTACAATGGCAAGAATGATTAGTAGGAGATCAGAAGGCACATGTGGGTTTGGGGTTATTTTTCATTCATGGGTGATGGATTCAAATTTCTCCTTTGAGGCCAGGCTGGGACTGTCTGGCTAGGAATGAAGCTCACGACAAAGCACAAAGAATACAGTCTCATTGGCTCTGGGTTAGACAACCCACGCAGGGCAAGAGGACTGGCTATAACAATACTGGAGTGACGTGCAGGCTGGGAACTGCAGGAAGGACACGGATTACTGAATGCTGGTTGTGGTGAAGGTCGTCTCTCATGTAAATCTCAGGTAGTAACAGACATTATTGTGGGTTCCACCTGTGAGTGTTACGTCCCTGGAGACGTGGTTACATGCAGCAGCAGAGCCGTGGGGCGGGCAGCACAGGGGCTCCCCTTGGCTCAGCTTTGACCATCAGGCTCTGTTTATGTCCACAGACTTCAAGGGCTCAGATTCAGTTCTTGAATCCTAACTCATTTCACCCAGAACAAGCTAGAGAACCGGAAACAGTGACTTTGGGAAAGAAATGATGTATAGGGAAAAATGTTACTAAAAATTTAAAAGTCATTTTTTGGAGATTTGTTTTCAGAGTTAAAACATAGTAACATAATGATTAATCATAAGACCAGATAAAAGCAAATATAAAACCACAAGATATGACATTCTTCTTCATTTAAAGTATAACAGGTCCATCCAGGTAAAGAAAACATCACCATTCTATATTTTTTTTTATTAAAAAAATTGAGCAAACATTGATCCTGATCCTTTTAAAACGCTTTATGAATTTTCATGTTATTCCAACATGGGGCCATGCTAATCTTCTCTGTAGTCTTCCAGTTTTTGTAGATGGGCTGCTAAAGTGAGAACAATTTCTAATTCTAAAATTTGCTAATTTTCTTTAAGGTTTCCAAAGTGCACTAGTGAAGGTCTTTTAGCCCTGGCATCTACCATCACAGAACAGCATCTATAAATTCTAATAGCGATAGCTCTCAGAAAAGATATCTTAATTGAGGAATTGAAAGGTGAGACCTCTATGGCAAGGTGTTTAGAAGAAGGTTCTGGAAAAAAAGAAAATAAACGCTCTCAAGCCTTTTACTTAGGACGAAGGCCAAAGGGCTGAGGAGTCTCTTAAAAGTCAGGCAGCTGACACCACAAGCCACATGGGAGACTCCATGTCCTACAGCCAAATGGCGAGTGCCCGCTTTTGTGTGACATTCCTGCCCCAGCAGCCAGACACTCATTAAGGTGGAGCTGGTTAGAGGCTCATCAGGGGAGAGGTGCAGTGTGTTTGTGTTACATTTCACAAGAACATTAGACTGTCAGAGCTCAGAAAGGCCACGACTGTTCATAGACGCTGAGTCGGGGTGGGGGTGTCAGGGGAGGACTGAAACGAATGCTAGCACATGTCAGCATGAAATAGCTGCTGACACAAATTGAACATGTGCAATTTTTTAAAAAGGTGGTATTGAATATCAGGCCAAGAGCCACCCCTCTCGGCATTTTAGGCCTCTTTCTTCTCTCCACTTTGGCTCTTTGTTGAGTCACTTCCATCAGGCAAAGTTCCATAGGATAAGCCATTTGAATCCTGTTGTATTTTGTCCAATATTTGTTTCCCTGCGGAGATCATAATCATAAAAAAAAAAAACTTCAGAGCTCTTACAGAAGAATATGTCTTAATGATTTCCCCTCTATCTAGGCCACATTTTATTGCTCTTTTTTTTCTTAATATGATGTGGTCAGCCTTTAAACAGAGAAGATAAAAATCAAGAAGCAAAGGCTCACGGGACTGTGCTGCTTGATGGGGGACACGCACGGCTGATGTGAGGCAGGTGGTTCTCCCACCCACAGCATCTGCTAGGCTGGGCATGGAAGTCAAGTTAGGTCAGCCTGCAGATTCACACAAGGCAGGCACTCATCTCCAAGCCGGTCTCTCCAGTGTTTTGTCTTCTTTCCCATGTTTAGTCTGATCAGCGGGGTCTATCAAAAAGTTCAGGAGAAATGAAATAAAAAAATAATACACAATCTCCATGAACTGTTGGAAGACTCCTTGGACCTGGCAGGTGGCTTGTCACACTGGGATGGATCAGATGCATAGGGTGTTGTGAAATGGAAAACAGAGTTAAATGGAAGTAAGCTTGATTTCCATACAAGTCATTTATAATGTACACCTTGGCCTTGGGCTCCAGTTCATGCACTGAACACCCTTGGTTGATCAGATAGATGGTTCAAATGGCAACAGGAGCACAGAATCCATTCCTTAGGGACTTACTCTCCCAGGCCAAGAAAGAATGAGGCTTTCATGGTTTTTGCTTCAAAGATGTAGTGCTTTCAGCATGGTGGAGGAAGCCATGTGAGTGTCTCCGAAGCTGGAGACTTGAGATGGGTGGGCAAGGCATAGTTGAACAATTTGGTCTACTCCATGAGCTACCTCTCAGTGAGAGCTGAAAAGGCGGTGCCTATTAGCCCAACTTCCGCAGTGAGCAAGCTAAGGGGAGAGGAGGGAGAAAGAAGCCACTTATGTTTTGGTTATGGATCTATGTATGTCACTCCCAGCACCACAGTGCACAAGCCACCTGTTTTCCCCAGGAATTCTATCCCTTAGCTGCCAAATCCTTGACCCTTAGATGTTCCTCTGCAGGGTTACCCTGGGGGGCAGGGGTCTGTTGGTGGGGGGTCATTCTCAGTCCCTTCCCTATCCTTTTCTAATTTAAGGAATCTCGAAGAGGAAATCTCCTAAAATCAGAAAGCAGTCAGTTACTTTATATCCTCAAGGGTTCTGGTAAAAAAGGACATTGAATAACTTATCATCTACACAAAAAAGAATCTGGTTTCATCATTAGATGTACAGTTTTGAGGGTAAAGAATTGTTTTATATTAGCTTAACACTCAAAAGAATGTGCCAGCAATGATTAATTTATAAGGATAGAATTCCCTACTATGAATGAAAGAATATAGAACTTTACCAGGAATATTTCCAAAGTCAATATAAGACTGTTGCAGATGTTCCTTTTCTCGATTTCTTGTGACCAAAAACACGCCAAGGAATGACAGAAAACACCTGCAAGAAAAAAATATGAATAGAGAAACACTGAAACAGCTTACAGTGTTAAATAACGGAGTTCCTTACTCTCCATGATGGCATACATTCCACTGTCTTGTTCATCCTGTTTCTCATGGTAAGTTGCCTAGAACTTGTCTTAATTGCTGTAACCAATAATATTTGTACCCAGAACCAAGGCTTGGACAACCTCCAATGTATCTCTGCCCCAGGTTTTTACCATCTGGAGTCGAATTCAGGCTCTCACCCAGAGGAGTAGACACCAGGTCTCGTTTTCTACCCATGCCCGCCCAGACCCATTACTGGCAGGCACCATGAGTGAAAAAAAAATTGTTCTTTAATTTTTTAAGAAATTTCCTGTCCTTGGCCATAAGAGCAGTCATGGTTTCCAGACCCCAAAAGTTTGGCCTCACCCAAATGTCTGATGAAATCGAATTCTCTAGATAGATGGTTTCCTATGCTGAAGATGATCTAGGCTTCAGTCTGTGGAACAGCAGCCATGTGGACTACCAGCTAAAGAAGCAGCCAAGCATTATAGGAGAGCCAGTTGGAGCTGACAGTCTCCTCTATACATTGGTGATATGCTGACAAAGTTTTCCCCTTCGCCCTTCATGGAGGGCTTGGCACAATGATATAGCAAACAGATCTGCCCCTATTTTGGCCTTTTATTCTGGGTGACTCCAGGGGGCATCTCTGATTTTTCTGGTTGAGACCTAACATAAGGGAGCCCAAGAATGTGTTGGGTTTGACACAGTTTAGTGATGCCGTGAAGTGGACCCACAAGGGCTGGGGGGTTTGTCTTGATTTTTTGGATAGAACTAAACATCTCCCAAGTTTCAGAACCCTCAGGAGGACACCTAAATCAAAAGCAAAGTCATGGAGGCCCTGTGTGGGGTAAGTTGAAATATGTTTCCTATCTTAGTTTCCAATTTTCTATACCTCAGGTACAATGCCAAAAATCCTATATAAAAGTAATAGAATTTCACATACTTCATCTCTGAGGCATTTACTCACCCAAAAAGATATATAAATACAGTCAGAAAAGCAGCACCAAGAAATTCCTGATAAAATATGATACCTATATGGAAAGAAAAGACAAAATTAACTTTAGGGCATTTATAATAACTACACATTCTTTTAAAAATTATACTAAGACATAATTCTTCTAAGTAGAGTTATTCTTAGAATGAACATTGAATAGTTTCATTTTTAGAAATTTACTTTCCATACCTAATATTTCAAATTATTCCCAATAGTGTGATTACCAATATTATACAATCAACACAACTGATATAATCTTTTAAAAATATTTATTTACTTATTTGAACATAAGATCTATGGAAAGAGACAGAGAGATATAGAGAATGAGATTCATGTGCTGGTTCATTCTAAATGGCCACAATGGTTGGGGTTGGACCAGAAGCCAGGAGCCAGGAGCTCCATTCAGATATCCTATGTGGCTTCAGGGACTCAAGGACTTGGACCGTCTTCCACTGATTTTCCTGGGCCATTAGCAAGAAGCTGGAGAGGAAGTAGAGCAGTTGGGACACAAATTGGCGCTTATATGGGATGCTGGCATTGTAAGTGGCAAGTGACAGCTTTTACCTGTTGGCTCCCTGACATAACTTTTGTAAGCAGAACTTTCTGATCCAGTCTAGTAATTTCCCATTGGGATTTGTAAGAAAATCAAACTCTAATTATCAAATGCTTGCAATAGAACAGGGCTAGCCCAAAACCTGGATTCTGGAACTCAACTAGGACTTCCCTAAGGATGGCCAGAATCTGAGTGCTTGAGCCGTCATCTCTTGCCTCCCATATGCAGATTAGCAGGAAGCTGCTTTGGAAGTAGAGACTAAACACTCGAACCAGGTGCTCTGGAATAGAATGTGGGTAGCCCAAAAGGTGACCTGTTATAGCAAATGCCCTCTTCCAGCCTAATGATGGAGGCAGGGGAGAGAAATGAACAACACTCCAGTGACATCACTGAGATTGCTCCCAGAAAGTCCTAACCTTTTTGACTCATCAATTACTCCATGAGCTGAGTATTACCACCCGGCCCTACTGGTTCTCCTCGAAGCCTTTCTGCTTGTGGGAACTACATTCTTTACACTTCCTATTCACATGAACTACAAGGCTGTATGCCATGCCGGGAACTCTTTTTCAGTCTTATCTTTCTTTTCTAATAATTCTAGAGCACAGCATTGTGCACTATTTTTTCTCATTTAAAAAAAAACTAAGCAAAATGCTAAAAAATTAGATGGTTTGGGGTATAATTTTTTTTTTTTACTTAAATATAAGAGCCAATTTTGGGAAACAGAAAATGTATTCATTACTTTTAAAAATTGCCCACAAGGCTCTGGTTTGACTTCTAACTGCTCAACCTCCAATCCAGCTTTCTGTTAATGTGCCTGGGAAAGCAGTGGAGGATGGTTCAAAGCCTTGGGAATCTGTGCCCATGTGGGAGAACTGGAGAATTCCTGGTTCCTGGCTTTGACCTGGCCCAGTCATGGCCTCTAAGGCCTTTTGGAAAGTGAACAAGCAGATAGAAGGTCTCTTTGTCTCTCCATCCCAGCTGTTCTAACTTTCAAGTTGAATGAGACACATCTTTAAAAAAAAAATTTCCACTGGCAGTCATTCTTTGTCTTACAATAAAAGTGATGTGCCAATTACCTCCAAAATACAGTAAGTTGACATTGAGAAAGGATCCTCTAACATAAGGTGATAAAAGCATTAAATAAGTCAGTGAATGAGGGAATTACAATATCAAATTAAATCTGTTATATTTTTAATTTGGACCAAGTTTTAAAAAACTAATTAGTTTACTTCGAAAGAAGGCAGAGGGGAGAGAGAAAGAGAGAAACAGACACAGCATTCTATCCTCTGGCGCAATACCTAAAGGCCTACAAAATTCGGGTCCAAAGCTGAGAGAGGGTAACTGGAAACTCTTTCCAGGTTTCTTTTTTTTAAAGATTTATTTTTATTATTTTTTCATTGGAAAGGCAGATATACAGAGAGGAGAGACAGAGAGGAAGATCTTCCGTCCGATGATTCACTCCCCAAGTGAGCGCAACGGCCGATGCTATGCCGATCTGAAGCCAGGAGCCTCTTCCGGGTCTCCCACGCGGGTGCAGGGTCCCAAAGCTTTGGGCCGTCCTCGACTGCCTTCCCAGGCCACAGGCAGGGAGCTGGAAGGGAAGCGGGGCTGCCGGGATTAGAACCGGCGCCCATATGGGATCCCGGGCGTGCAAGGGGAGGACCTTTAACCACTTGCGCCACCGTGCCGGGCCCTCTTTCCAGGTTTCTATGTGGGTAGTAGAAATTGAACTTCCGGAAACATCACTGTTACTTCCCAGGATCCACATTATAGCAAGTTGGGACCAGAAGCCAGAACTGAGGAAGAAAACCTACATCTCGGAGGTGGGAGACGAGGTCTTAACTGTTAGCCAGACAACCTCTCCAGGACCAAACTCCAAAGGCATTGTTTTAACATTATGGTGTCTGTCATGTAAAACAATTATCCATACAAAGAAAAGGCCTGTAGTAGAAGAAAAACAGAGGCCCGAATAGTGAGGGTAGTCATTTCCATCCTTGTGTGTTGGGCTCTCCCTGGATAGTGCAGTTGGTTTGGTACCCATCCTCTGAACGAGACACACAAGGCCACATAGGCAAGAGTGAAGGGGCCTGGGATGGCTTGCCTGGAGATGGAGACCAAGGGAACCTCTCAGTTGTTTTGATTATTCACGGGGATGATTTCAGAAGGCAGGACTCAGTTGAATGTCTTGAAATCACAAGGAAAACTCATTTCAGCTTCAATAGAAGGAGACAGCTTCCAATAATTAAAGCTCTCCCAATAATGAGAGTAATCTAACGTGGGACTGAATGGTCTTGGGGATTGGGAAGGGAAGAGGGCAACGCTCACAGAAAGTAACATGAGGACGTCAGAGACATGGGGTGGGACCACAGGACCTAACGATTGCTTGGTTCTCTCATTGCTCAGAGAGAAGTGTATGTGAAGTGGTGGAATGTCGGATGTCCAGAAACCCAAAACTCACCTGCAATAATGGCGCTGGTCGTAAAGAACATGTGGTTCACAGGCACTACCACTGTTGTGCTGTAGAGTTTCGTGGCTTGGGTCAGGAACCTAGGGGTACAAGGCACTTGCTGGAGCTCTGGCTCTAAGAGACGTGCAGCAACCAGCTAACAATAACTTTAAGAAACGCATGTTCTTCAGCTACAACTACAAAGGGAGAGGAAGTGCAGCGAGAGGGCATTTCCAATCAGCAGTCATAGCTTATTTGCATCTGATGTATGAGATCAGATGTCAGGTTTTATGGTCTGTTTAAACCAACAACAGTAACAATGAAAAGCAATTAATCATATTCCGAGGCCACAGAAGTTTGACTTGGAAGCGGTTCAAGCTGCTGGACCCAGGATCACACTGGGGCTGATTCATTAGAATAGACCTTAGAATCTGTTAAATATCATATCTGGGGAATAGTATAGCTATCCATTGACATGCCACGTGCCAAGAAAGAAGATGGAGAAGCAAAGGAATGGTTCATGTTTCAAAGCCAGCGCTTGGTGCTCCAGCTGCACAGCACATGTAGGAGCTGGGCTCTCTGCTCCGGCCACCAAGAGGAATTCACGTCTCTACAACTGCACTGGGCTGCCCTGCCCAAGGCTGGCCTGGTTGCTAAGACAGCACTGGCACTTGTACCACTGGTGCTTTGAAAAAGCATTGCAAGCTTAGTTCTACTCTGGACAAATTGATAAAAACAAACAAAAAACCAAAAAGAAAAAAAATAAAATGAAAATAAAACAAACCCCTGAACCATGGCGGCTGCCACCCAGGTATGGGAACAAGGTGGACACGGACTGCAGATCCTCAGAACCCAAGGGTGTGTGTGTGTGTGTGTGTGTGTGTGTTTACATGTGTGGACTACACACAAGCGTGCAAACACTTGGATGCACACATGCATGTGTAAATAAACGTGTGCAAGTGATTGTAAGGGGCAATCAGTTCTGAGGAACCCTGATTTTACTAGGTGGTGGGTACAGTGTCTGAAATAAGGGTGACAACATGCAAGTTTACCTTCCATACCATTTGCCTTTTAAATTCATAAAGCATGGCATAATGAAGCTTATCACCCTTAGCCTCCAAGAAATGGCAGTACCAACTAACTCAGAGAAATAAAAAGAGCAAAGACAAAATAGAAAGGTCCAAATATTAGAAGCACACGCAGCGTTCTAAGGAAGCAATACAACACTGCATCTCTACAGCAACTCCACAGACCTTGCAGAAGGGTCTCTACTCAGCCTACTTGACAACTGGACTAACTCCCAGCACCCACAGTGCGAAGCACTCACGTGCTGAGTTCCAGCCCTGACTTGGTCATTGGCACTGGCATGAGGCCTGGTGTTCTGGGGGTGAACAGACAACTTTCTGGCCAACCGCGGAGATCCTAGCAGGCAAAGGCACAGTCCTGAGGTGAACCGCAGGAGATCTGATCAGAGCCAACGGAGGTGGGGGAGGGAGAAGAGCAGAAAGTAAAAAAGGTTCCATGTCACCACTATTAGCCCCCAGGAGAAACATCAAACAAAGCTTTCTGCAGTCCCACAGGCCCAAAGCAAATCCTGGCCTGAGATGCAAAGCACTGGAGGAAGGGATTTCCCTCCCGGCCACACGTCTGGTTTTGACCATCTCTGGGCAACTCATGAGCATGAGCTCAGAAATGAAGGTGAAGGGTTCATGCGTTTCCTATATTTAGAATGCAATCCTGGATGTGGACCCGCCCTTTTGATTTATTGCTAATGACAACCTGTGTACGATGGATATTAATTACAAGCAGAAGAGCATCAGGAAAGTATCAAAGTGCACTCAGCTGGATTATGGCTGCACTTCAGAACTCAGAAGACATGAAGGCAAGGCTTTGTAAAAACTTATTATTGGAGGCGAAAGACGGAGCAAGGCATGCTGGCTGGGGATACACTGGAGGTCTCTGGCTCTTAGAAATCAATTGCATCTCCTTTTAATGACCCTCTGAAGTCAATAAGGATTAATGCTCAGAGAAGCACAGGAATGTTGAAAGATTAGTGAGGATGCAGAAGCTAACTTACTTGACTTGGAAAACACAAGATGCTATCATGATGATAAACATGATATAGAAGATGGGATAAGTGAGCTGCATTTTATCCATCAGAGAAAAAGTGATCATGCCCGAGACAGCTTTTACTGAAATAACAGTCAGTGAGGCTGAAAGAGAAAACAAACAAAACACGAATAAAGTACATATTTGGGAGAGCATGGCAAATAAACATCTTAGATTTACATGGGAGACTGGCAAACATGCCAATTGTCCCTTAAGGTTGAAAACTGTCCTGAGAGGTATAGGGTCAGACATAAGCCATGTGATTGGGCCCTGCTGCTCAAGTTGTGCTGCACTTGAAATTAAAGAGCTGCTGGGTGGACTGGCTGCTGCTTCCCGCTGGAGTAAAAGGCTTGCTGGCCAGCCTCAGCTGTGCTGCATGATCACCTGCGGATGGGACAGAGGAAAACAGAGGAAATAAGAAAAGTCAGATTGCCATGTGACATTAAACGGGAAATGGTGAACGTTTACTGAAACTTGGAAGCCAATGGGACGAGAGGTGGGGAAAAGGAATTCACTCGGGAGTGCCCCGAGTTGTACTAGGTCTATGTGTGAGCCCTTCCATTGGCAGAGGCCTAGAAGCTTCTTCCAAACACTTTTTGATCAAGACAATAATGGAAAGCAGGAGACTAGCTGAGAACTCATGTCTCAGGGTCAACCAGCAATCTGAGATTGACAGGATACCTATTTATTTTCTTTGATAAAGAGTAATCCATCCATTATGAGAGAGAGGGAAAAAAATGTTTCAGGGGTTCCAAAAAGCAATGAAGCAAAGTGACTTAATGAGTTTGGATGGGTAGGGAAGCATGGGGCATTCTCTGTAGTGCCATACTTTGGAGGAGGAAGACAAAGCTTCCTTTCTGTCCCAGGACCCTTGAAGTTACTGGAGCAAATGATTGCCCAAGTTAGCTGATGCTCATGGAGGGTTCCAAGATCAGCTTTACATGACATCAATGAATGCTGAGTCAAGGGCAATGTCAGAAGTACGCCCCCCCTCTCCCCCCCAGCACTGTTGATTTATCTGGTCACCATGTATTGGAACTTCCTCCTTATGGCTTTTTGACAGCTAATGTTTCTCTATTTGTGCTTATGAAGAATATGTCTAAAATAGTGGGCAAGGGCCAGCCAAGAACCCTCCATAATTTTCTTTTTCCCAAAAATGGAAAATGTACTTTAACTTGAAGAGTACCATGGCACACCATCAAAGGAGGCATTTTCTTTTGGTTCAAATTTGTAAGAAGCAGAGGGAGCCTGGCGAGAAATTCTAAACACAGTCTCAACAAAGAGCCTCTCGTACCACAAAGAAGCCCATTGCGACCCAGCTCCTCGCCATCTCAGAGCGTCTTCTGACGAGCCATTGACTGTTTCCTACCAATTCTGACAACACTCATATCTCATCTGGGAATTTTAAAGTATTTGTAGAGATCTGTGTACCACCTGCTGACTTAAATTTGGGCTTAGCTCTTGAGGGACCTTGATGGCCACCTAAAACATTTTGCTGAAATCAGAGCACAGGGGGGTTACGGTGTTGTGGTCTGAACTGCCACGTTTCCCAAAGAGACAATTAGTGGAGAAGGAATGGAACACACCATTCCATGAGTGCCCGAACTTCAGGATGGCAAAGGAGGTGAGTCAGCTAACGCAGCCACTATCTGACTTTAAATTCTACGTTAACAAAAACCAGAGAGAAGACTAGAATTTCTAACTAAGCTGTGACACAAACTATCATTTGCTATAGTTAGTCATTATATTTTCAAGGCATGCACAACCGCCAAATGATTAATTACCATTTTCTGTCACTCTGCAAGTTACTTCAAGGCTGGCATTATTTGCAGCTTTGTGTGTGTGTGTGTGTGTGTGTGTGTGAGAGAGAGAGAGACAAAGACAGGGTTTCTGACGAACATATGTGCAAATACATTAAAACATAGCAACATTCTAATGTTGTACACTGAAAATTAGTAAATGCTTCAGTATGCACGAAAAAGAGGCTAGAGGAACCTACATTTCGATATTGCCAGTAGGTACCTTTAGCACTGGAAATATGAACAAAATTTATGATCATCTTAAAAACAACCTGTAAAATATTTTATTTAAATTGTGTGTGTGTGTGTGTGAAGTTGTGCCAATCCTGGAAAGAAAAATTAAAATCACCAGTAATCTCAGCATTCATCCCCAAATTACCTTTAACATTTGAGCACATTATTTTTTTTCTGTAAGTATGAATATATGCACATCGCAACATATGAATCATATGGTATACACCATATGCTACCTCGGAACTTGTTTTCCATTGCCAGTCAGTATTTTATTTCTTTTTTAAAATTTATTTTTATTGGAAAGTCAGATATATAGAAAGGAGGAGAGACAGAAAGATCTTCTGTTCAATGTTTCTCTCCACAAGTGGTTGCAATGGCTAGAGCTGAGCCCATCTGAAGCCAGGAGCTTCTTCCAGGTCTCCCACATGGGTGCAGGGTCCCAAGGCTTTGGGCCATCCTCTACTGCTTTCCCAGATCACAAGCAGGGAGCTGGATGGGAAGTGGGGCTGCCAGGACACAAACTGGTGCCCATATGGGATCCTGGTGCAAGCAAAGCAAGGACTTTAGCTATTAGGCTACCACTCCAAGCCTGCCAGTCAGTATTTTCTAGGTCATTAAGTATCATTTAAATCAGTATTTTTATTGGCTGTAAAAAATGACTGGACAAATGCATGATTGATTTTGGCAATTCCCTATTTGGGGGTCATTTAGCTTACATTCGTTGTTATTATTATTTACTCTTAAATATGAGGCTAAGATGAATGTTCTTGATTGTCACTCTGCCTGTTTCTTTAGGAATGTCCTCAGACTGGGCGTTGCGGTGTCAGCAGCTACTCAGAGGGCTTCTGCATGACACCAGCCCACTCTGTTGGAGGGGTCAGCCATCCTGCACGACGGTTCTCTGTGACACGGGTTTTCTTTCATACGTTCCTATCTCTATTATTTCTCAACACCAAACTTGTGACTATCACCGTAAAATGCCACTTGCTGACCCGTTTCAGAAATCCATTATTCTCAATTTCTTCTAAGCTCTGCATCCTTTTCCAGTGACTTTCCTAGATGGCTGGAGCCTCCCTCGATGGCTCCGGATTATAGCCATAAGTATTCACGTTTGAATTTCGCTTTGGAAGCCAGAGCGTGCGGAGGACAAAGAAGGGCTTCCGGGTTGCCCCAGCTTCCCTAGCCCCTGACAGGTCTCAGCTCCTTTCAGAGAGATGAACTGTCTTCACACAAGGTTGCAAGACGGACCAAAACAAAAACACACAGTGCCTTCTCCTGTCTGACTTGGTAGACAATTATGAGTGGCTGAGAAAGTGGAATGTTCAATGTTCTCAGCACAAAAATGTTAAGTAGTTCAACTCCTGTTAGCTAACTGCATTGAATCATTCCGCACGGCATTTGAAAGCCGTAGCATCACTTTGTATGCCATAGACTTACACAATTCTAGATGATCAACTGACACTATAAAAACTCCGTATGCATATTAATACACGTGCACACGCAAACAGAAGAAAGATCTCGGCCACATGCAAAGGGAGCCGCTCATTCGAAATGAAATTTCTTCCTGATTATTTTCAACTTTCTATTTTCTTGTTTTAGATAATTTTTTTTTCTTCTGTTACCAAAAGATAACGGCGATGGAGAAAACATTCAGCTGTGAACTTACACTGATTTCTAGTTTTTACCCCAGGAGTGCTTTTTAATCACAACAAAGCGAAGTTCGAAGTTGTATGCTACTCTTTCCATTCTGCCTGAAATTCTAAATAGTTTCCAATCCATATTTGGCAGGGAAATTAGTTCCTGGTACCCTTTTCCTGTACTATCTTTTTCAGATTTGGGACCATTGTATTTGATATGTTAAAAAGCATCTTCTTGTGTCTTCAGATTATTTCGACAACTTCGGGACACTGCTTCCTTCCTGGAGGTCTGAAGACACCATGCTGGGAATTGTCCAAACGGGCCTGGCTCTTTACTCACATACTGTAACTTTCTAGCTGTGTCTTCGCTTCTTTCACAATTGCTTTCTTTTTTTAAAAAAGAAGCAATTTATTTATAAAAGAAAGGTCTTCGATAAGTTCGTGGGAAATATGTATTATGACAAAATTAGGCAAGGATTTCCATATTTTCGCACTAAAAATTAAAACTCTCACTTTCTACAAATTCCTTAAAGTCCCCTCGGGTCTATTTATCTCACGTGTGGGTAGACACACACATCCAGACAGCTACATTTCTATCTATATTTCATTTCTATTTTGGGGCATTGGCTGTTTTTTCCTTTTAAATTTTCTGATGGAGGATTTATTTTACTGGTTTTCTTTTAACAACGGATTCTTCACTGCTTTTGCATGGTTTTGCTAATGTTTCCTTTCTCCTTATGCATCGTTCCTTTTTGTTTTGGTTTCCTCTGGGGTGTTTAGTTTCTCCTGGAGGCAGCATTGAGTCATACGCCATAGGTGTTACCACTCAGCGTCTTCCTGCTCATTCTGAAGTCACATTTCCGGGCAGCGGGGTAGCTTGCACTCTCTTTGTGTTCTTATTCTCTTTCTAGATCACTGTGAGCCCAGAATGTGGGCTGGGCTTTTCCAGCTTTCTGGAATTTCCTATGGATTTCTCTGAGGTGAACTCCATAATGAGTTTTAGTGAATGCTACGCAATAGTAGAGCTACCAGATCCAAATTAGGTTATTTAGATATTCTACCCTAACATATTTTCATGTCAACTTATTTTCCATGAGCCCAGAAAAGCCTCCTAATCTCCCTAAATTTCTGTTAATGCAATTTTGCATTTTCTGCAGATTTCCATTCCATATTAGATATGATGCTTTGGTGGGCTAGACACTTTTATCAAGATAAAATTACCCTTTTTAAAATGATTTTCTGCCTTGCGTTTTAGCTTGATTCTCTGATTTCTTCTCGTTTCAACTTGAGTTACCTTGTTTTAATTGAAATTAATAGATAAGCGCATATCAAGATGTTTGTGAAAAAAAATGGAACTAAAATTGTATTTTGGTGTAAATATGTAAATGAATTTTGGTGTCCAAATATGTAAAATCCATGCACAGCTTTTTTCATATTACAGACTTTCTACCTATTATGAAAAAGAAACCTTGCACTAAAAGCAGGGTTTTGGGGCAGTAAAATAAACTGATAGTTTTAATTTCATTTTCACAAAATTGTTGAAGTACCCGCATGTACAGTCCAAACACTTCACCAGCAGTAAGAGCCTGCAGACAAAGTGCCAGCCCTGGTGCCACGGCAAGAGGACCCCATGGCTCCATGAGGGCACATGCAGTAGCTCATCGTGGTGTAGCGGGGACACAGGAGGCCAGATGATAGCCATGTCAATCACTCCCAGGGATCTGCACCAGGGCAGACAGGCTGGGTACAATCTCTGAATCATTTTCTAAATCAGTCTGAGGGTTTCTCCAATGCCCGGAGGTGAGCTCATCCCATTGATCTTTATGCCCAGAGCTGGCATGCTTGGTCTTCATTCTGCCATCTTACTTTCCTATCTCAAGATTTGTCATTTTCCTTATTTTGCTGTTGAAAGCTGTGTGCTTTAATCATTCAAAAAGAAATAAGCATGACATTTTCTCTCCAACCTCTTGGCCAACAGCAGACCTGAATATGGCGAAGAGTCCATTTGTTGCCTGTAGGCAGTGATCACACAGATCTTCTGTGCCAAGGACAGAACCAGCTGCTGAGTGAGGAATGCCAGGCCTAGGATCGCATGAAGGTGGTACCAGCACAGCCTACAAAATCACGCATAGTGTAGAGGGCATCTGATTGGAAAAGAAGAGGCAAAGGAAGCACACACACTAAGTTTCAGGAATGGCATTTCCTGATGACTAGTCAGATTTCCCAGTGTTAGTCTATAAACAGGTGTTTGGGTGTGTGGGGAGGAGAGAGAAGAAAGAGGATGTATTAGTATACACACAGGGGGTTTACCTACCAGCGTTTTTCACATTTTACCAGGAGCCTCTGGGGGAAAAAATGTAAATGGGCTGGTAAACAATGAATGAAAGAAAAATGTAGTATTCAAGGAAATCACCCTGCTTACATTTATGTTTCTTATTAACTATGTTTTAAAGATTTTCTAAAAAATGTAAACAGGATAGGGAATAGGTCTTGTTAACTAACTCCTGGCACAAAAGTTCCAATTGGGTTCATTAGTTTATTCCTCTTTTAATATTTTTCAATTACAATCGTCCCTTAGCATCTTTAGGGGACTGATTCCAGGACCCACACTCCCTCTGTAGACCCCAAAATCAGTGTATTCATCTATCTTACATAAAATGGCATGGTATTTGCATATAACTTATTCACATCCTCCCAGCTAATTTAAACCATCTCTAGATTACTTATAGTGCCCATTAGAATGTAAATTATTTGAGAAATAATGACAACAAAAAAGTCTGTACTTTTCCTCCAACCCCCACCCTCCCGTTTTTTTTTTTTTTTTTGCCCTGAATATGTTTGATGTGTGGTTGGTTGAGTCTTTAGTTTGGAACCCAAAGATACAAATGCCCATTTGTATTAATTTATTAAGAAAAATATCACCAGAGTTTCAGTGGGAAATTGTTACCAAAAAGCAGAAATTATTAGGTACATTTTGAAAATAATTACAAATAGCTCAACCACAATTATGGGCATGTAAAACATAATTTGTACCATTTAGGCTTGGCCTCAACCCATTGATCAGAACTGAAAACCAGGAATAGGAAGAAAGGAATAGCACGCTTAGGTGTTTTCCTTATTGCTGACTTAGCACAAGTGGTAAGAGACAGAGAAGTGAAGCACACCATTACCTAGCAGTGCCACCAGAGTCAACAGGATCGCCATATGCTTCATCCCTCTTCTTTTATGGAAGTACAGGAGAACACAGAAAAGTAGTATCTCTAAAATCTAGAAGGGAAAAGGATGAACAAGAGTTAAGTGGTTCTACACCAAGTGTGCAGAGTGGCACGTTTCTCTTTTGGATTCTGTAACGGCTCTCATGTGAGAGCAGAGAATGATGGACGCTCCTAACACAGAGGGCTGATAAATCAGCCACACTGATCCAGACCCACAGCTCTGACACAGATCTCCAGGCCCGACGGGTCCCAATGGTCTACCAGATGTTTCCCTGTCCGTGGCTCATGGGCCCACCCCACTAACATGGGCGGTGCTGAACCCTGGTTCCCCAGATGGTACTTCCGGGTTTCCAGAGCCGCTCTGAAAACTGGCCCACTGGCTGTCTACCCTTTAGTGTCATCAGAATTCTTTCTTGGCCCAAACTAGCCACTCTTCCTCTCTGCACTGTTGCAATAAGCTTCCAGTTTGTCTCCAGTTTTACTCTTGCCTTCCAATGGGCCAGTCATCCAGGAGCCAGAGCAGCCACCTCAAAGCACACTCTGCACCATGAAATAGTACACAAATGTTAAGGCACCAACAGTAATGGGGCAAGCACTCAATCCGCACCACCTTGGAAATCTCACGGTGCTCACCTCTATTCTGCCTCCCTCGGGAACCACTATCCTGCATTTTGAGGCTACTCCCTCCTACTTCTTTACAGTTTATCATCACTTTGCATATCTCCCAGCAGAACCCTACTCAGTTTTGCATGCTCAGACTTAAGAGAGATGGAATCATGCTTGCTTGCTTTCTTTCACTCTGCATGATGGCTAGGGGATTCATTCTAGGTGACACTCCTTTGTGTCATTGCCCAGTGGTGTCCTAGTCCACTGAAACTAAAATCCAAATTTCCCGTCGGATTACAAAGCTGCAGGTGAAGTGACTGGGGACTACCTGCTCCTTGATCCGCCAGCCACAAAGGTCTCTTCCTTTTCCTTTTCTCAGTCTTTGTAGTCTGCTCCTGCTTATGGATTTTTGCACCAACTTTTCCCTGTGCTGGGGGTGGCTTAGCCACTGGTCTTTGCATTCAGAATGTCACCTCTTCTGGGAGGCTCTCCCTAACTGCTCTGAAAAAGCCACCCAGCCATCCTATCACATCCCCCACACCCCCTCAGCTCCCTGTAGAGCACCCATCCTCACCTGCTGGGCTTCTTGACCAGGTGTTTAGATGTTTTTGGTCTTTCTCTGGCATCAGAATGCCAGGTTTCTGTGGCAACAGGGGCCTTGCCTGCTCTGTGGGCTGCTCTACCTGCAGCTCCTGTCTGACTCATAGTTGCTCGGTCAGTATTTAGGAACAAATGAGTAAATTACACCTAAAATTTACTAGGGACAATTTGCCCAAAAAAGACCTGAGTGTTGAACAAATGTTAACTGATTGAAAGCCATTAGTTCTCACATCCTTAAGAAAACTCTAGTGTGATTTTAATTTCTCAAGTTTAATATTTTAAATATTTGTTGCAACCCTTATCAAAGCCTGAAGTTAAGCTCTTTTTAGCATTTTTTTAAGAGATGGCATCTCTGGACTGACATCACAAAAATCAATGTTTGTTTTTCTGAAACAGACAAGTAGTTAAGTGTCACAGCTAGTTTTTTTTAATCCTTGGAGTTTTTGGGACTTCACTCTTTCCAGGACTGCATATGAAACACAGAACCTCTGCAAATTAGCTGAAATCTGTTTCAATTCAAGATTTTGCTGGTTGATTTGCTTTCTCCTTTAATCCTCTGTGGGCATGGGAAAGGGTATTTTTAAATGAGGACCGTATCTTCCTCACTAAAAAAAAAAAACCAAACAAACAAAAACAACCTTTCCATTTAAATATAGAAGATTAAATCATTCTTAATCTCCCCACCCCCGGGCAAATTAAACCGCTTATGTTTGTTTCTCCTTTAGGCCTTATTTTCCAGGACTTTAATTTAATTGAATCGTCTACACAAGCTATTGAAAGTCCTGTTTCTTTGCCTTCCCTAAAGCTACTATGAAAACACTGGGTATCCCCATCTCTGGCCATCCACTGGGGAATGAAGGTAGCTGTTCTATAACCCGTAGATGCCTTTTTTTTTCTTCAGCCATGTTCTTTGTCGCTTCCGATAAATAAAGCATGAGTTCTGCTTATTCACGGAACAACGACCGTGGCCCTGGAGCTTCTGTCTTGGTGACAAGAGGTCACACAGCTCCCTGGAACCAAATATTCAAACTGCATGCATGAAGGGCTAATTCAGTTTTTACTGCATGTGTTGTTTTTCGGTTGCAATTGCAGTGCATCTGCAGGTAGTTGTGGAAGCTGGGATTTCTGCAGGGTGCCCGGCACTGGGCAGGTGCTGCCATCCTGACTGCTACTATCTTCAAGTTCAGAGACAACAGCTCTGCTGTAGGCTGTGTTTGGCTTTGAGGGCCCTTTGGTTTACTTCACTGAGTCACCACTACCATTTGTGGAGGCAGGTACCAGGGTAACTTCTCCATTTTCACAGGGCAGGGAGGACATGGAACTCCAGCAGGATTAAATGTCTCCCTCCTGTTCCTTGTCCTGCACACCCCCCACCAGGGTCCATCCCCTAGATCTCCGCTTTGGACATCTGTGACCACATGACATCACATGGCAGAGGGACTCTGCAGCTGCGAGGAAGATGATGGACCGTGAGACTGGGCGGTGATCCCGGATGACCCAACTGGACCCAAGGGCCTTCGCAGCTGCGGTCGGAGAGAGCTGCAATGTGAGACAGACTCGTGCCAAGGAATGCTGGCGGCCTCCAAGAGCTGGCAGGGGTTTGGAAATCGATTCCTCCCTGGAGACTCCAGGAGGAGCAAAGCCCTGCCAGTACCTCAACTGGGCTCCAGCAAGACCCGTGTTGGACTTCTGACCTACAAACTGAAAATGGTAAAATAGGGATGGTAAAATCGGTGCTGTTTCAAGCCACTGATGTTGTGGCAATTTATTGCAGAAATTAACAGGGCAAAAACAACTTCATTCAGGTCTTGGTACCTGCCGTCTTTCCAAAAGAACGGAATAGAACATTGGTTGTGAATTACTTCTCTGACTTAAAGACACCAACCTGCCTGATTTCTGTGGTGGAAAAGAGTGTTGGGGGCCAAGTGTGGTGGCATAGTGGCTAAAGTCCTTGCCTTGAACACAGCAGGATCCCTTATGCTATCCAGTTCTAATCCTGGCATCCTGCTTCCCATCCAGCTCCCTGCTTGTGACCTGGGAAAGCAGTCAAGGATAGTCCAAGACCTTGGGATCCTGCACTCACATAGGAGACTCGGAAGAGGCTTTGGGCTCCTGGCTTCAGATTGGCGCAGCTCTGGCCATTGCAACTGCTTGCAGAGTGATTCATTGGACAGAAGATCTTCCTCTCTGTCTTTCCTCCTCTCTGTATATCTGACTTTGCAATAAAAATGAATAAAATCTTTTAAAATAGAAAATGAAAGTCAGATCCGAAGCCAGGAGCCAGGAACTTCCTCAAGCTCTCCCATACAGGTGCAGGATCCCAAGACTTTGGGCCATCCTTGACTGCTTTCCCAGGCCACAAGCAGGGAGTAGGATGTGAAACAAGGCTGCTGGGATTAGAACCAGCACCCATACAGGATCCTGATGTGTTCAAGGTGAGGACTTTAGCCACCAAGCCATCGCATCGGGCTCCTAACTTTCTAATAAAATAAGTAAAACAAAACAATACAAATCTTAGAAAAAGAAGAGCACTGGAAGTACATGGGATGAATAGGTGGAATAGAACACAAAATTTTAGCGCTGGTTGTGTCACTTCCAGGGCCACAATTTGACCCAAGCTTATCATCTTCTCTCACCAAGTTCCTTCTTGAAATGAATGCTTCTGACATGGCTTTTTTATCCCAAAGAGTTGAGCTCTGCCAAGTACTGCTCCTTGACCTCACCAATCCCTCACCAACCTGAAGTCCAAGTTTGGACCAAGATTTGTGTTTTGGTGGTCAGCTTTGATAATTTTGCCCAGCATAGGTGCATAGGTGCAGGGGCTGGAGTGTGTCCCCGGATGAGGACAGCCTGGTTTGAAATCCTGGCTAGTCTCTTCACCACAAAAAATGCATAAAGAAAGGGAATGAACACAAGTTCACTGGGGTGCAAAAACCCTTGGAAATCTATGCATATGGAGGAATCTTTAGAGTTCATGCAAAGTGTGTGCTATGAAGAAAAACAAAAGCATGCAAAGGTTGAAAAATGCTTGTGCACCAAGACTCACTCATCTTTCAATCCTTCTTTCCACACATTTTTTGGAGTATTCTCAAAGGGGGACATTGCGCTGGTAGGCAGGCTGAGAGGGGCTGTTTCAATGCATGAGCTGAGAGTACCTGGTGTCCCCCTGGCTAGCGGACACCGGGCTTCTTAGCCAGAAACAGAGCATCCCATCAGATCCAGGGCCTTGAAGCTGTGGGGCTTCGGCAGCATGGCTGTCTGACAGGTGAAACAGACCACCCTTCTTGTCCAGCTCACACAGAAGAGAAGGTAGCATGGAGCAGTCTGGACTGCAATTTTATCATTCTTATTTTGGGGGGTGGGGAGAAATATATATGCTACTAACACTTTTTTTAAAAAGATTTATTTTATTTTTATTGGAAAGGTGGATATACAGAGAGGAGAGACAGAGAGGAAGATCTTCCGTCCAATGATTCACTCCCCAAGTGAGTGCAACGGCCGATGCTATGCCGATATGAAGCCAGGAGCCTCTTCTGGGTCTTCCACGCGGGTGCAGGTTCCCAAAGCTTTGGGCCGTCCTCTACTGCTTTCCCAGGCCACAGGCAGGGAGCTGGGTGGGAACCGGCGCCCATATGGGATCCCGGGCATGCAAGGCGAGGACCTTAACCACTGCGCCATTGCGCTGGGCCCATGCTACTAACACTTTTATATACCTGTGTACATTTGGTAAGTTATTTGAGTACTCTTGAAAGGCAATTCAAATGCTGGAGTTATACCCGTATCATACATAAATAGGTGCATCAAAGAGTAGTCTTAATGACCGTGACATTCATCCTTGTCATCAGAGTTGGTGGGAAAAAGCAGAAGATTGGCATATCTGAGGATTAGATATTCATTACTTAGACGTTGAACAGATTGAAATCAAACTTCAGCTCAAGATTTTGGCATCTAATTGGTTTCTCCATGAGTCTTTACAGGTGAAATTAAATAATGATTTAAATTCCAAACGAGTGCAATATAGATTATTCTCCTTGTAATCTCCAATATAGATGACTCTTTGTAGAGTCTAACGCCAACAGTGCTATTCACCAGTGACGTTCTTAAAGGCTTAGTTTAGGCTACCTTATAAACACTTTGCACTGTATACACTTCTCTCTGTGGCGTTTACTTTCAAATATTCCTCATTATGGCTCTCTGCAGGAGCTGTGAAACCCCTGCTGTAGGAATTCTCTGTAGCTTGGCTGTCAACTCAGTTAAATGAATGGGTGAAAATGAATGACTTGAAGGGTTGATTTTGCAAACTGGCAAAATGTAAATAATCTCAGAATTGTGGCTTTTTTTTTTTTGGCAATACTAGGTTTAACTCAAAAGCAGTATGGTCCTTTTCAAATGTTTTCTCTGGAGTTAACACAGCATCAGGCATCTCATCATCCAACAATGCTGTTTATTCTGGGAAACAAGTCCTGATGTCTCTTTAATCTCCAAAGGACTCAACTCAGGCTATCAATTTTCTGGTCACAGGTTATGTCACTCTTTTCTTACTGGATGAGAACTTGTTTTGCCTGTAGGCAAAAACTAGTAATGTCTTGGTAGAACTTCAAGTCTGGACTATCATGAAATATTCAACAAAGCACAAATAAGAAAAGTAAATCTCAGAGATTAAAATTCCCTCTGGTGCTTGTCATGGATTGAGGAAAGATGTGTTAATTAAAGGACAGAGCATGGTGGACAAGTGGGAAGCTAAATGTGCAGAGGAGTGGCACAAAGTACGACAGGTCCGGGGAAGGCTAAGTGGGGAAGCCCAGTTAGGGGCTGAGGGAGGGCAGGGGAAAGGAAAGAAGCACATGACAAAGTGAGGGTAGAACTACAGTCCATGAGAATGGAAGCCAAGGCCATAGGAGATAGGCACCAGGTTGATTCCCAGCAGCTCCACTTTCGAGCCAGCTCCCTGTAAATACACCTGGGAAGGAAGCAGAGCATGGCCCAAGTGCTTGGGTCTCTGCACCCATGTGGGAGACCAGAGGAAGCTCCTGGCTCTTGGCTTTGGAAGAGCTCAGCTTTGGCTGTCGCATCCATGTGGGGAGTGAACCAGCACATAGATGATTTCTCTCTCTTTGTGTCTCTCTTCTCTAACTTCACCTTTTAAATAATCAAACCAACTTTTAAAAAAGAACAGAGGTATCAAGTTCAAGAGACTTAAAAATATCCAACAGAATAGGGGTGAGGAGGCAGAACAGGGGTGTGGAGGATGTGACATGAAGTACAGGCTTCTGGTCTTGGATGCTGACATAGAAAACCTAAGAGAGGAGAAAGGCCGAGGGGAGAAGAACTTTGTGTTCAGTTTTTAGCATGCTGCATTTGAGGAACACATGGCCTATCCGACAGGGATGAGGATGAAGTGGATGGATGAGAACACAGATCTGGTGTTTAGGAGAGGCTGGGGCATTAGAGCTAGGGCTGCATGTGGAAGGCAGATGATGGTGGGATGGGCAGTGGTCACTTTAGAAGACTGTGGAGAAGCACACACATGAACAGACACGAGGGGCTGGCAGAGGAGAGGAGAAGCTCACCAACAGTCCAGTGTGGGTTGGAGAGAAAGTGGGAAAATGGAGCAAATATGCTGAGGAAGCCTGGGAGGTGATGGGCTGTTCAGGGATGCGCTGAAGGCCCAAGAAGGAGCAGGATTGACAAACACAAGCCTGTTCGGCAGCTTGTGGGGAGGGATCCAGGCAGGGGTGTGGGACCCTTTTTTCCTGCCAAGGGCCACATGGGTATTTATAACATTGTTTGTGGGCCACATATAGATTGCTCACTTCAAAACTAGCCTGCTAGGCTTACTGAAGTTCAAATCCCTCCTGGGCTTGCCGTGGTGGGGCCAGACCCAGTGATTCTGCAGGGCCTTGAGTGGCCTTATGTGCTGGACATTCCTGGCTCCAATGTGGTAAATGAGGAGCGTAGGGAAGGTGAGAGCGTGGACAGGCTGGAAACAGATAGAGAACAGTTTATTAAGGAGTGTATAGGGTACAAGAAATTTAAGACAATAGCAACAACAGCACAGAAACCTGACTATCTTGATAGAGTAAGATATGGGGAATTGGAATGCGGAAAGACCTGAAGACATGTGTACTCCACCAGTCAGAATTCCGCGTAAGTCAGTTAAGAGTTCTTGTCATACAGACTCAACAGATCTTAAAAATGTGTGCTCTAGTCTTTGAACTTTTTTTTTTTTACCAACCTAGTTTTTGGCTAAATGCTCAGCTAGACTATGCCAAAACTCCTCTTACGATCTGCCCTTCCTAGAATATTCTTATTCTTCCATCTAAATGGACTTTCGTGGCCAAGTTATCTACCAATCGTTTTTGATCATGTTCTCCCCTTTTACCCACCAGATACAGGCACTGTATCAAACAATCTCAGTTAATGGTTTCCAATTTCTAAATGAGAGTATTATATTCTTTTATAACATGTCCCCCTATTGTGCTACTGTGGTCTGCATCCCTCAGAAATCAGCTGCATTGATCTCAAAGAAAAGTCCTTTGAAGATGCTAACTTAGTACTTCAAAAACTCTTGCATTTCCATGGCTAACTTAGTGTTTCAAATACTTTGGTGTTGGTCCAATATATCTACATTGTAATAAGTCATCAGTGCTGAAAAGATGATATCAGTTTTCTGCCATCTGCATATATAGAATCCAGAGAATATAGCTGCAGGGGTAGTAAAATGCTTAGAATTCTTACCACATAGATCAGGAATTGCCAGCCGACAAAGAAATACTGGACTGTTCTCGCTGAAATGGCCTGAGTTATATTTGGAGCAAAGTTCACCAATAAATATATTCCTGCAAACGCCAGTGTCATCCCTTTAAATAAAACAGAAAAGACAAATCAAATTGAAAAGAGGCACTGAATGCTTTTTGCTGATGCGAACATTAATGAGAGTCTAGGCATTGCTTGCTCAAGAACCAATAGTCCTTCCCTGTGAACACATGATTCATCAGACACCCTAGGTCGAATCATCAGTTCACGTGGACTTCAATCACCTTCAAAGAAGGCAAGGGAAGGATTGGGTAGGCCCTAACTCCTGAGTGTTATCTGTTGTTGCAGACAAATACATGTATTTTCCAGGGAGTTTTATCCAAAGATGGGGCAACTCAGAACAACACACCTGCAGAGAGACCACACCCAAGTTGATCGCCGCCAAAGGAGCCAGACAGCTCAAGATCCATGCAGGTCTAGACTGCAGAGCCCAAAGGAAGGGGTGATCACCGTAGCATGATGATCTGCCTGCCCCTTCTCTCTGGAGCCTCTGCACATCCCAAGGCGACTATTCACTCGGACGTTATGGAATTGGGTATTTCCAGATACCACAGTTCTGGGAGCAGAAGTAACTGAGTGCATACTGACTTTGCTGTAAGAGTTTAGTTACTCCACTCCAGAATCTGGATGTCCAAAGCTGGGACTGGGAGTGGGAGGGAAGGAGGACTGAAGGGAAGACTTGCCCTTCCCAGCACTGCTGAAGGCTGCTCATTTATACATGATTGGAAACCCCAGAAAAACTGGCGTGGGTGGCATGTTTCAGATAGCGCACTTGACAACACAAGTCAATCAGTTCACCACGAAGGCCAGTGCTGTTGTGGACATGATTTGCAGCCAGTGAGGATCCCAACCTGAAACAGTGGTTTGCCTGTCCAGTCACACAATTTAAGGCACCCGTTTTCTCTTGCTTTGAACCAAATGACTTGAGTTTTGAACTCTGGCTTCTGGGAACAAACATCATTTGACATCTCACACAAGCATGATCATAGTTCTGCAGGGTATTGTAGAAGTATCTGAAAGTTTCCTCTACTGTTAACACTTTATCCTGTAATACTTTGCGGATGAAGACAGTAATTCTATAAACCATTTAAGAAGGCATTTCTCTAATGAGAATTTTATATAATAAAAACAACGTATATTATTAAAGATTGTAACAAAAGCAAAATCATAAAAACTGTACATAAGAACTTGAGAAAAATTATCCTTTCTTTGGGGAAAAAGATTATATAAGGTAACTTCTGAAAGTAGGTCCTGAGGTCAGAATCACTGTGGCACAGAGGGCAAGAGCCACCGTCTGCAATGTAGGCATTCCACATAAGTGTCAGTTCAAGTCCCAGCTGCTCTACTTCTAATCCAGCTTCCTCCTAATGTGATTGGGAAAGCAGTGGAAGATGGCCCAAGAATTCGGAACCATGCACCCACATAGGAAAACCAGGATAGAGTTCCTGGCTCCTGGTTTCAAAGTCTGATCTGGCCCCAGGCATTGTGGCCATGTGAGGAGTAAACCAGCAGACTGGAAATCTCAATCCCTCTCTCTCTCTCTTTCCCCCTCCCTGCTCCCTCTCTGTAACTCTGGCTTTTGAATAATTAAATACTTTTTTTTAAAGTTATTTTCCTAGTAAGGAGGGCATTTTAAAAAATCAGTTTCCTAAATTTCATAAAATGAAGTAGCATAAATCCACTGAATATACATTAACAAGTCTTACTGACTTCCAACCATGCCCTTTGTGAAAGCCAGGTTTCCTAAATGTGTTAGGCTTCTTAGATATTCTATTTCTTTCTCTTAGGGGGAAGTGGCTACTGTTGATGAACAGGTGACACACAGACATGATACAAATTCCAATGCTGCGTAGGATGATCAGCGGAAAGGTGCCACACACCCTGGTGACCCATTCATTCTCCTCAACTGTGACCTCAATTTCTGAGGTTTTCTTCTCAGTGACAGTGTACCATGTGTGGATGTAAGAATGCATGAGTTTTTCTTTTCTTTTTTTTAAACTTTTAATAAGAGATAGATAGAGAAATCTCCAACTGCTTGCTTCCCCAAATGCCTCTCTGGGCCAGCTGAAACCAGAAGCTGGGAACTCAGTCAAGTCTCCCCAGGTAGGTGGTATGAGCCAATCACTTGGGCATCACCTGCTGCCTCCCAGGTGCACATCACAGCCAAGCAGAGCTGGGCATGGATCCAGGCAGTCTGATCGAGGAAGAAGGTCCCAAGCAACCTTGTAACCACTACGCCAAACGTCCATCCTGAATTTTGCTGGTTTACCCCATATGACAGCATATGCTATACTACTTCCTGCGTCTTGGAGGACAAGAAGGCAGGGTGGTCTCATTCTTGTCAAGTCTGCATAGTGTTGCATTAGATGGAAGCTGGCCTTTTTACAGTCACTGTTGCCTGATTCAAAGCTGCTTCCACACTAGCCTTCTGTGGCTGTCATTATCACCAAACGTTCTCACTGCATTTCTAAGCTAAAATCCAGTTTAAAAGGCAGATGATTTTGCAAGTATGCTTTTATAAAACCTTTAATTTGTGCCTAATGTAATTTTGACTCTGATAAATAACTCAATACAGCTACATGCATTCTTTCTTCTTAATAATTTTACCTTCAGCTACCTTTGAAAATGATCAAGTCAGCTCCAGGTAAGTGCTACCCCTTGCCTGCTTGTTTGTTTCATGTCATTTATATTTTTAAAAGTGATTTATTGTCTCCTTTATGAGTCATGTACGTATTTTTCAAAAGCATCTGCAAGCGTTGAAGACAGTCATTTGCACTTCTTCAAATAAATGTCCTTAAAATTTATTTTTGTCCCACCTTTTCTAAAAGTGGCATGAAATGTCAGTTCCTGCTATTTTTATTGCCGTGAAATCACAAATATCTCTCCTCCTGAAAGACACAGATTGGAAAACTTGCTAGATTACCTTCTGCTCTCATTTCCCCAGAGAAGTAACTGGGACATGCACGATCCAAGAGGAAGTGGTGGCAGTGTGGACAAGCTGCCCGTGCAAGGAAATGGACACCTGAGGTCAAGATGGAAGCCTGTACATTCAACCTGAGAGAAACAGCCCCTGTGCAATGCTGATTTTGTTCCTCTTGATAGCTGGAAGATCCCAGGCAATTTATTTACCCTGCTGTGACTTGATGTCCCCATTATCTAGGTATGAATTAAGCTGTCACATCTCTTCACCCCCACCCCCAGGCATCTGACTCTGTTTGGAGAGCTGAAGAAGTGGAAAACTGAAGGAGGCCAGGCTGTGGATCTCCCTTATGAAGGGGCTCACCTGCTGTGAGTCAAAAGGTGTTGGAGTTAAGGCTAAAAATCCATCCAAGAGCCCAGTGTGACGACTCAGAAGCTAAGTGTCCTTGCCTTGTATGAACCTAGGATCCCATGTGGATGCTGGTTTATATCCCAGCCGCTCCACCTCTCTTCCAGTTCCCTGCTTGTGACCTGGGAAAGCAGTAAAGTATGGCCCAAAACCTTAGGATCCTGCACCTGCATGGGAAATTCAGAGGGCTCCTAGCTCTTGATTGGTTCAACTCTGGCCACTGTGATGACTTGGGAAGTGAGCCAGGGGACAGAAGATCTCTCTGTATCTCCTTATCTCTGTAGACCTGCCTTTCCAATAAAAACGAATAAATCTTAAAAAAAATCCATCTAAAATGATTATGTCTACTGTCACTGCTTGAGGGTGACCAGGGACCATCACTGCAGATGTCTATAAGGAGGCAACAATCCAGCTGGACAATGGAAGGGCTAGAAATAATCAGCTGGCATCTTCTGACCACACAGTGAAGACTTGTCCCCATTGGTCTTGATGACTACAGAGGAAGGAAGTGACCTGAATTAACAAAGAAGCAACGGCAGTCCTCTTCTACTTGCGACCCTCAGCTAACCTCAAAAACGGGTACATAAAGTACACAATCTGGAACTGGAGGGCCCGGGGCAGCTGTCAGGAAGTGTTCATAGGAGTCTGGGTCAGGCGGCTGGAGGCACCTATGATTCAGAGTGTGTGGCTTCACCCTCCACCCTCCTGCCCAAACCTACAGTGAATACAATTTCCCAGGAGATATGGCACTGGTCACTTGAAAGATAACAATGAGTTGCTGAGACTGTGGAGAGCTCCCTGACCCGCAGAGCAAAACTCGCACACACATCGTGTCCTTTTCCGTGGTGCTTCTTTATTATCCTCCATCTCCTCTCCCCCTCGTTCTGCACAAACTTCACAATATATACATTTCACCATCCAATCAACATTAAGGTCAATACAGCACGCGTAAAGCACACCAATCATAACGCAGAGTACTAACCCCTGCAAGTGGTGAGCATGTACCAGGGGCCAATCAGGATGAAGTTCTGGGTTCTGTTAGGCCTCTTCCTCATGACCCTGGCATACAACCAAGGCATCATCTTAGGGCTGAGCAGCCGAAGCTCCCAACAGAGACATGCAGATTCAGTTTGGTGGTATGTACAGATGCTAATGAAATCTCTTCCTATAGATCTGTTTTATGCAAAACAGATCAACAAGCCAAGGCCTGCTCTTTACAGTAGATATAGCAGATACATCAGCAAGGCATATGCCAGGAGAGGGCACTCTTTCTTCCTTTCTTTCCTTCTTTCCTTCCTTCCCTCCCTTCCTTCCTCCCTCCATCCTTTCCTATTCCTTCCTTTCTTCCTTCCTTCCTCTCTCTCTCCCTCCTTCCTTCCTGTCTCTCTTTTTTAAGGTAATACTCTTTAAATGATTGATCTGATAGACAAGCATGACTGACATGAGAATTATATTATGATCAGTGTCATACTAAAATGTGATGATAATGACTATAATAGCTACTAGTTACAAGAACAATTCAAAATGCTTTCTATGTAATTGATTCACTCCTAACAACAAATCTTTGCAAAATGATCAGGTAGTGCCCCCCTTTACCAACCCTGCTTGCTTGAGTGATTTGTTCCAAGCCCCTCAGTGAATGTCTGAAACTGCAGATGGTCTCACAATTTATAAATGCTGTGTATTTTTTCATATAAATATGTATATACAGAAATA